ACAGGCCTCAAAGATTACCTTGATGGATTTAAGTTAAATAAGTGTCATTTTTCCTAACCATAGTTGTAACTCTAATTTGAGCCATACTCAGAAAGAAATTATGTAGTACACATTCTTTTGTTCAGGAACTTTTAGTCAAGGTATAGATAGAGGGCTAGGCTCTGAGGATTTTTAATTTTTTTCTAATACTTGAGAAGAACAAATCTGAGATCTAATCATTGGAAAAACTGATAATGGAGAAAAGGACAAAGAATAACACAACGGGAAGGAGAAGGAAAAAGCTATCTATTCTAGATCTCATCTTGATCTGTAGAATCTTAGGAGGAAGCTTCCTACTTCCAAAATTCTGGAAATCTTTTAATGTGTCACGATTGGCTTTCCAATGAGAGTGTATATCCAAGTGGTAGGATTCTAAACATGTTTATGCTGTGAAAAAAAAGAAAAAATCCATTTGTCCTGAACTACAACATTTGTAGTTAAAAATACTGGAAATGGCCTTTTCTAGCATTGTTAAAAGTTGACACTTTGGGGAGTCTCTTTTAATACAATCTTTATTTGTATATTATGTAGAGGTGTGTCTGTTGAAGTCTTTTTTTGAAATGTAGATTGCATTTGTTGTATATATGACAGTGTAGCCTACATTAGTTTTAGATAATATCTGACACCTGAAAATGTCAAAAGAGAAGAAAAGTCACATGGATCTTGTGGTACAATTTCAAATGATGAGAATTTATGGGAATATTTAGATGTAGGTCATATTATCATTATTATTAAGGTTAGAAGTAAAATTTTTGCACAGTAAGTTTATGTTCTTTTGGGAATTTTACTTTAAATTATTTGTATTATCTTCTCAGCAGTTAGGGGGTGATATAGATTGATATGTTCTGATAAGAATAGTTTTATATTTTATCCATGATCTCATTTTTTATTATTTAAAACTATTACAAGTATTCCCAGGTGGCAAAAAAGATCCATATATTTCAAAACAATAACATGAAATTGATTTGTTAATGCTGTGGTTCTTGAGATATGGTTGAAGCACGGTCCCACCTTTATTGTTTTTCAATTTGTACTAATTGGATATATAGCAAGATTCAATCACTTGCCAAGTTTTTGAGATAATCAACATCTTTGTAACACTTGAACTAGTTTGTGCTTGTGTTGGAGTTATTTTTTGTTACATGACCATGAAGTCTGGAGGTGGTTGGGCTACAGAGAGATGAGAGATTTGGATAGTCAATTTTTATTGAGGGGTGGTTGATAAATTAATATAGTTATAAATTCAGTCTTTAATGGCAGCTCTAAAGTATTCTTACCTTGTCAGCATAAATAAGACAATACATATAAAATTGAATTTACTACATTAATGAACAGTAACAACTTTCTAATAAATAAACAGACCAAACATAGCCATTGCTTGTGTACATATTTGTGTTTCTCTGCAGCTATAGTACTTGGTAGAGTCAGAGCTGTTTGTATTAACGACAGCCCTTTAGAAAAACAGGCAACTGTGTTCCCTCATAGGCATAAGGAAACCAGGAGGCCGTCCAAAACCTGCCTTGTCCTCTGGGCCCACATATACACTTTACATATCCCTTCTACATATTTAAAGTAGCAAAAACAAGCATAGCTATTTCTATTCTCCTACTGCATCTATATGTTCTCTAACCTGTTAATCTATGGTCATTCTCAACTGTGTGAAAATAAAAGACTTGCATAGATCTGTTTTTAATGATGTGTATTTTGTACCCTCCAACTTATTTAATTTACCCAATTTAATATTTATCTAAATTTTTAAAGTTATCTATAGACTTTGAACTCAGTATTTAAGCTGACACAATGAGTCCTTATGATTTGTAACATTAGAAAAATTAATTCCATTTTAAAAATGACATTACCTATCTACCTTATCACTATTTTGTGATAATTTAGTTCAATGCATAATTTACGTAATGTAAAATTTTAAATAAAGTGATGATAACTCATCTAATCAGTAGAGTTAAAGAAATTTAGTAATTTTAACTTAGTTTTTTTTTAGAAAATAACCCCTAAACTTGTGTAAACTAGAATACTATACTAACATTATTCTTACATTATAACAATAATAAAGAAAAAGATGTAGAGCCAGTTTGTAAGGCAGAATTGTTAAGCCAGCAGATTTATCCAAAGGGTTAACTTGATTAGAAATATGTGATTTTTAAATTTCCTATAGAATTACATGCCATGTATTAAAATATTTAAGTTGTTCAAAAATAATGGAGTAGTTCTGTTTTGTTTCTTATCCTGTAATGTGTTAACGAAGACCACTAATTAAATTCAGTTAAACTTCCTTTTCTGTCTGAGTTACAACTTAAAGAGGTAGCACGTTCAAAGCATCTGGAGAATTTGATTTTGCTCTTATTTTAAATTGATGTATGTTTTTTAGTCTTTATATAAGCTATTTAAGTTTACATTATAACTTTTAAAATTTTCTGCTGAGGTAGATAATTTGCTCAAAATTATTTGTATTCATAAAGCAGAAAATATTCTCAATCATTGTACAAGTTAGAGGAGCTAATTGTGAAACTGGAACAAAACTGAAAGAGATTTAATTTAAAAGCAACCAAGATTTAAGTCTGTTGATCAGTTAAAGAAACAAATGTGATTAAGATCAGAGATCCCTCAGGGTACACCACTGCTGGGAATATGAGTAAATTCTCTGATATCCTTCTAAGTTTGGTAGGAAATTCTAGTTTCCAGTGCCATATCCCTCACAATGAACTCATTAAGGTTAATAAACTATTTAATGTTTGTTCTATACAGGTATTGGAAGCCCTCTCTTTTTTCTGACTCAATAGCTTTATTTATAATGACATATTTCTTCTCTCTCCTCTCTGACCTTACTTAAAGAGCAAGAAGGGACAATATGTTTTTGGAATTATTGAATAATAAACTTTAGAGGCTTCGGCATAGCAAGAGACAGGCCAATTGTAGGCTGGAGATGCTGTTTCCTTGTTTTCTTTCTTGTCTTAAGTCTCCTGTTAGGTCTAACGCTTTATTCAAGTTAAAAGTTTTAGGCGGCCATTTTATATTCATTTATCTTTGAAGCAGGAATGTTATTTTTACAGATACTGACAATTATTTGGACTCATACCGAGTAATCACGATAACAGACAGTTTTGAAAGGAAGAAAGAAACTCTGATTTTTAGTTAAAAGAACCCACAGTATACAAACACAAAACACCAAACACAGTGGATCCCATCAAAGGCCAGAAAGAAAAACACCAACTTCCTCGTCCTGTGTTCTCAAATGCCAGAGATGACCAGAATCCTCAGACAAACACAAACAACCCAAAAAAGATGAACAAATGAACAGATTCCAGATACCCTGTCCTCTGCCACCAACTAATTAATGATCTAGCGATAAAACCACTAATGTGTATCCAATCGACAAAGTACAATCTAAGAACCAAAATAAGAAGCAGACTTGGGCAAAAATAAATTTTAGCATACAAGAGCCAAGGGAAGATGAACAGAAAACTCAAAGTGCCCAGGGCTAGACAAGGTACATTTTCAGTTCACTTTTCTATTGATTCCTAAGGTAGGGCTCGGGTAAACAATGTCTTGGTGGAATCTTCAGAAATAAATGGTCCAAGGTGTTAATGATTAGGCAGCCTGCTCTTGTATTGAAGAGAAATCAAGCAATAGTTGTTATTTCATCCAACAAAGGCAAACCAGAATTTATATGTGAGGAAAAGAGGGGAAGAGAAGGAGAAAACAAAAACAAAACAAAACCTTGTAGTCAGCCTGGGATAGTGAATGTTTGCACATTTTTGGGGTAAACTGATTAGTTGGCAGTGAGGAGAGGTTAGTCTGATTTGGATCATCAGTCCTTGCGCAGGCTCACTAGGGGTATAGAAAAAAATCCAATTTCAGTTGTTGAAGGACTTGGGAAACTTTATAGTTTGGCTGAAGAGCTTGTGTGATAAGCATGTGCCATTGTCCTATATTTGCACTTCTACCTTAATTAAGCCAGGGTTGCACCTCATTTCTCAGGTAACTTCCAGGTTAGGCAGCCAGTAACTGTGGAGCCGTGTTCCAATGGACGCCTGTCTAGCGCCAGACAGGCCTTAGTATTTTTCCCAGGATCAAAGAAAACTGCACATTTAGAATCACGGGGTCTTAATGTTAAGTAATCTAAATCACATTGTATCTTACCTCAAATCGTTAAACAACAACAAAAAAACCTGTTTTCCTTGTAACATAAATTTTATTCCTGTAGTCTCCCACTTTTTTACAGAGAAAGCAAAGTTTACTCCTAGGTGCTGAAAATGTGTTCTAGACTTGGATAAATTAAATGGAAAATGCGTTTCTTTCACCTTAAAATCTTCCCCTGGAACAAAGATTAAACTGCTTAAGGGAAGGTGGAACTTGCCAGCTCCCCCCACCCCCTCCCCGCCGCGCGACTACCTGGTTTGGGAAGGTTCTCTCCTAGAGACTCTGTATGCCAAGTTCAATAGCCTCCTTTCTCTTCCCGCCTAGTTTCCCCGCCTTTCGGTGCCAGCCCTCGGTTCAACCTCCATGGAAACTTGCCAAGTTGCAAGCATCTCTTAAAGCAGTTCGTCAACCCCGACTACGTATTACAAACCACCAGCCACCTACGCAATTAATTTTCATGTTCAGATAGCTGTAGGTCAATTACAGTACACTGATCACTGGGACTCAAAAAATAGCTGACTTTATACTTGCGGTGACCCCCTAATTGCAACGGGTAATGGATAACATTTGACACAACAATGCCAAAACCCAACAACCTGGCAGTGCTTTTAACAGCTTCACTTGTCATTCCTTAGACCCATTAATAGGACTTAAAAATTTCTCTACCTTTGTCTTCTAATTAATGCACAGTACTTTTGGCCAAACTTCAGCTTATAGAAAATAAGCAGCAGGTTACAACTCTCTTTGTGGACATGTGGGTGGCTCTTAAAAGAGCCTTTGGGGTTAGGTGTAAAGACGCTTACTTGGCAAGTTTACTTGGAGCTAGTGTACTTGGTGACAGCCTTGGTGCCCTCAGACACGGCGTGCTTGGCCAGCTCCCCGGGCAGCAGCAGGCGCACAGCCGTTTGGATCTCCCTGGACGTGATGGTCGAGCGCTTGTTATAATGCGCCAGGCGCGACGCCTCGCCCGCAATGCGCTCGAAGATGTCGTTGACGAACGAGTTCATGATGCCCATGGCCTTGGACGAGATGCCGGTGTCCGGGTGGACCTGCTTCAGCACCTTGTACACGTACACAGAATAACTCTCCTTGCGGCTGCGCTTGCGCTTCTTGCCATCCTTCTTCTGCGCCTTGGTCACTGCCTTCTTAGAGCCCTTTTTCGGGGCAGGAACGGACTTGGCTGACTCTGGCATTTTAAAACCTCAAAACACGAAAAATAAAATGAAAGTAGAAAGAGGATTTCTGCTATTTATAGGGCCTTTATGCTAATGAAGGATGCAGACTGCGTCTTAGTTAATTGGAAGACAAACAGCAAGGCTGTCATCTATGGGCAGAACTATGTAAATGAGGAATGGAAATAAAGCTTTTCTATTGGCTACTTAGGTGAATCTTGGTACTAACCAATCAGACAATCGGATTTACTCCCCAGGAAATGCCTATAAAAGCAGCAGTGTTCTATCTGCTTTCAGACTTGGTTTGTTTTGAGAAGTACTCATTTTTTGTTTTTTTCTTTTCTGTTTATTTTGCGATGTCTGGACGTGGCAAGCAAGGTGGTAAAGCTCGGGCTAAAGCGAAGTCTCGCTCTTCGCGGGCCGGTCTCCAGTTTCCCGTGGGCCGAGTGCATCGCCTACTTCGTAAGGGCAACTACGCTGAGCGGGTCGGGGCTGGCGCGCCGGTGTATTTAGCAGCGGTATTGGAGTACTTGACGGCTGAAATACTGGAGTTGGCTGGTAATGCGGCGCGCGACAACAAGAAGACTCGCATCATCCCACGCCACCTGCAGCTGGCCATCCGCAACGATGAGGAGCTTAACAAACTGTTGGGCCGCGTGACCATCGCTCAGGGCGGGGTCTTGCCGAACATCCAGGCGGTGCTGTTGCCTAAGAAGACCGAGAGCCATCACAAGGCCAAGGGCAAGTGATTTGACAGGGATTTGAGTTTCCGGAAGTGCTTTCAAACCCAAAGGCTCTTTTCAGAGCCCCCCACTATTTCAAAGGAAGAGCTAACACCACTTGGAATATTAAAGAAAAAGGAAGGTAAGTGAATTTTTATCTAAGATAACAAGAAATGGAAGAAAAATCTCTCTAGATGTTTAGAAAAGGCTCTCATTGTTACTAGAAATCTCCCTCTCTGCAGAACGCGGTAAATCGGTTAAGGTCTAATGATCCACGAAGTGGTTAGGCATTTCAGACAGTCGAGTGATCTGCCTTTAGTCAGTAAAGCCTAAGCACGGTTTAACTGCAGGGGTGGATATACGGTGGTCTCAAATGAACATGCCGAGTGAAATGGCCAGAACCTCTTAGACGCCTCGTTCTAGGCTGCAGACAACCCGTCTTTCCTAATCCCGCAAGGGAGTTAGACTCTCTGCTCCCGCTAACTTTCAACGTATCATCTGAAATTTACCACGTACTGAAAGGGGCTTTTGAAAAATTGATTACCTGGAGTTAACATAATGGTAGCTTAGAACAGACTGAATCTAGACTCCAATTGTGGCTTCTCCCCACATTTACAAATTGTGAGATTTCGGGCCAATTTCTAACCTGGTAGTTTTGTTGTATGTAAATTGGGGATAGAGTGATGGTGTTTCCATTGATTTTTTTTTTTTTCTTTTGACAAACCGCTTAACACCCGTAACCTAGATTAGTGCCTGACATTCAACGAACTATAGTTAGTAGAGGTTCAAACGCCTAGGCCCCTAACGCAGCCTCAAAAGGGATAGAGTAGGGCTGCAGGCCTCCCTAAAATAGTTAACTACTAGGGATCTGGTAAATTAGCTGCTCCAACCCAAAAGTGTCGATCTGGTACTGTGCAAAAATTCCTAGGATCCTATTTTCCGGGATTGAGTCTCATCAAGTAAACATTTCTTCTGCATGACTCAGTTTGTGCTTGGATGAGTAGGCAAGGAGGCTGAGTAGGCCAAAACTTGGGACCTGTGCGGCCCAGGGAGACGCACCCTCATTCAAACATCTCTGGCGCTTCACTGAAGCATTTTGCGTGGCATCAGTTCTTTTGGAGCATTCAGATCCGAGTGTGTGGGGAAAGAGAATCTAAACAGAAGCTGGTTCCCGTGAACGCACTTTTCTCATTCTCATGTTGGCACAGACACTTTGCAGTCTTGAGGCAGCCTCCATCCCTCTCTTGCCCTCCTCCCGCGCATCCCCCTACCCCCCACCCCCACCCCGGCCTTGAAACTACCAGCCAAAGAACCGGGGCTAGAGGGTCTGGGTGTTTGGTGAAGGCAAATAGGCGGAAAAAGAAGTGAGCACCTTGATGGCCGCACGTTAGAATTTCCTTAATTTTTAAGGATAGCCGGAATGAAAATCAGTTTGGGGAAGGTCCGACCTCACAGCATTTCAGGTAGGGGTCCACTGAGAGGACCGCGTTCTTTACGCCCAGCATTTCTTGTATGTTGGAGAACTTGGATCCTTAGGTTGCAATTGCTTTATATAAGCCTTGGGATACTTTTCATTGACTTTCCAGGTTGCCTTTGAACCCAGCTCCAACACTTAACTAGGTGGGTGACCTTGGGCTAGGTGCTTAACTTCTCCCTGCGTCCATTTCTTCCTGTATGCCTTTGCCTGTCTTGTGATGAAAAGAGTGGATTCAGCAGTGTGGGTTCTGAAATTAGAACGTGGGGTGCTCGAGTAATGGCCAACACTTAGTAAGCACTTACTGTGTGTCAACATGCTTCCAGAATATTAATTTAACCCAACAATCTTAGAGATAAGTACTATTCCTATCCCAATTTTAAAGATGAAGAGACAGGAAGACAGCATAAAAAACTTGTCTAAGCCCCAAGGTCAGGAAGTCAGTACTTCTAACCACTGGCAATTTTATAACCAACTGCTCCCTAAGAGGTTGTCAGAATAATGAAACGAGTAAAAATTCAATACATAATGGATTTAACTTTGCCCACATACCAGAATGTTACTAATTGTATCCTAAACTCTGTGAAAATTTTAAGAGAAGGAGGAGAGGTAATCTCCCTGGAATCTACATAAGGGAGGGAGGTAAATCCTGACAGTGTGCTAGCCACATATTTTTGTGTTAACCAATACACTTTTGATTTAGTATGTGACAAGTGAAACAAGGGGACAAGTGGGGAGATGGTTTAGTAAAGAACCAAAGAAAAAAAAAAAGAACCAAAGGACTTGATAAACTACTTTATTGTGGTAGGTGAAGAAAGGAGTTAGCAAGGACTTGAATTCTCCCCTCTGGGCTCCAATAACAAAACTTTGTATTGGATTACTTAAGAGTGAATGATACATCGTGTTAATTTTGTGTGTTTCACTGAGACCTCCTTAAAGTCAAGGACCACATCTTGTTAAATTGTTGATAGTCAGCATAGACCCTGGCATACAATAAACACTTGATAATCGGACATTGAGTAAATGTTGAGCTGAGTCAGTGGCTGGGCCATCAGGAAGTACTTTGTTCTAGAGGGTCAGTTTATTACCAGAGGAGACATTAATTACATGCCAGACTAAAGGCTGCTAATAATATCTTCTCTTACCAGTAGAAAATCCCTTCTGAAAAATCCAATTTGCATTGGCAACTTATTTTGGGAGCTTCAAAGAAACACAGAAGGTGCCAATTGATAACCTCTTACCTAAGAGGTACTGCTAAGAGGCTATTCCCCAAGCAGAGGACATTCCTCACAGCTCTGGCCTAGCTTCCCCTCTCCAACATAGTTCTTCACCTCCTACTTTGAAATGTCACTGTTTATATCCAAAAGCCCTAGTTACCACTTGGGAAAATTCTCTAGTGGGCAATAAACTCTCAGTAGCTTTAGTTGGTTTCCAGCCCTTGAGTAGGTCTCCATCTACCATGCCTCAAGGGTCCTGGAGAGAACCATTTAAATTGGGGCAAGTTGATGTGAATCGTAAACCCAGGGCTTCCAGTTACTGAAGACACCTGGCCACCAGGGACAAGATATGTATTAAAGGGATTTATTGAGATGTGAGGCTGAGACAGAATCATCATTCAATTATATAGCATATTCCAAACAACACAGATCACTTTGATACAGCATCGCCAAATACAAAATCTTCTTTAAAATTTCCAAATAATCTATGCAGCAATATCCTTTCCTTTACTCCATCCATTATCCATTCACATTCTATTTTTTAAATGTATCACTTGAACTCTTTTTTACAAGTGTGATACATTTTATAAACAGTTGTAAAAAAAAATTGTATATTTTAAGGTTAGAAGTAGGTTACCTTCTAGGGGTTTGTCACCTGTTGAGCCTGAATTATAATTATAAATGTAAATATTCCTGTTAAGTATAATGCATGTGGGTTACTAGGAAACATTAGGAATTTAATTGAGGAATCCCCAAACATACCAAAATTGAGAATAAGGGCTCACATGTAGCCCCAGTATTCTTCCCTCTCTGTTTTATTTCAGTACCTTGATCTTGTAGCAAAATAAGATTAGCATCACCAGGAGATCTACCAAAAGGCAGATTATAGTCTATATTTATACCCATAAAACTGTATCATTAATAAGTAGACAAATTTATGAAAAAACTCAATAAGTATAATCATTATAACACCAAAAGAATTTGGAACGTAACATGTATACTTTAAAATAAAACGAATTCTAGGACATGGAATTAATGTAGTCATATTGAAAAAATATCAGAAATTCATTGGACTTAATTAGATTACAGTTGTTAGTTAAGTTGTAGTTTAGGCAGGGTGATAGAACAAGCATCTGTTAAGACTTAGAATTACACGTGTTACTTACAGTTGAGGTTCTTTCTGAAAGAAGCAAGTGTGTAAGTTTCGGGGTCTCTGCTGTATGTTGCTTGTCTGCCAGTTGGAGCTTAAACTTTTACCACATTCCTCACTCTCGCAGCACCAGGCAGCAGCAGCTGAGCATGTCTATTCTTTCCTGTACTCAGTGATAGCCTGAGCTGAAAGTACAGGCCCTGACTTTACGCCATGACAAATTGCCCTTGCATTCAAAGTGTATCTCAGAATGGCTCTATCTGAAAATGCTCTAAATTTTAGAACCTTGGAGCTCAGTACTAGCCCCTGTTCACTCTGTCTCCTTGATGATTTTATCAGTACTGTAGTTTCAAAATCTGTCTATATGCAATAAACTTCCAATTTTACATCTCCAGTCCTGCTGTCTTCCCTGAAATGCAAATGTGTTCATACAAATTTCTACTTGACACCTTCACTTGAAGCCCTAACAGACCTCTCAGCCTAAATACATTCAAGACACAAGAGTTTACATTATGCTTCCTAAGCCTGTTATGCCCTCCAATCCTCCCCAGCTCAGTAAATGACATTACTGTAAGTCCATTTACTCGAGCGAAAATTCTAGGAATGAGCCTTGCTCCCTTTCCTTCATCTCCACAAATCCAAACTATCTGTAAGTCACTTCACCTATACCTTTAATACATATCTTAATTTATTTACCATACTCCTTACCATGACCTGAAGAGCCATCCATGACCACCCTGGCCTCTGCCCACCTCCCTGACTTCATCTCCATCTCCCTGTCCAGCTACACTGATCTCTCTTCCACCTGCCAAGCCCTTTGCTGCTTCAAGACATTTGTACTGTTGGTCTCTTTCTCTGCAGTGCCCATCCTCTGATTTTTCTTCTGGCGAGCATGTTCTCAGCTCTTCTCCACACAGGCCTATCTGAAATAGACTACCCAGATGGATTAAAGAGCTAAGTATAAAATACAAATACTAGATGAAATTTTAGGGACACACTTTGTATAACTTCAGTTTTGTATGTGTATATTTTAAGGGGGAGGTGTCATTATTAAGCCAGGCAGTAAACACAAATGCCATATAGGAAGGGACACAGACCACATAGGACAAAAATAAACTTAAGATGCAATATTCCATAAAAGGAGTAGAAAACAAGGAGTAAATTGGGATAAAGGATTTGTAAAACATTATACACAAAAGGTTAATGACTTTAATTTACAAGGAAGACCTGCAAGTTGCTAAGAAAAGGGCAAAAAATAGAAAAAAATTACTGAACAGGATATTTTATACCTTTTATGAAATTCAAATAGACAGTGCATATGAGAGAAAACAAACCAAAATACATAGAACTGTTCACCTTCCTAAAAGTTAGGTTATGCATATCATAGCAACAAATGAATAGCACTTCTCACCTATGGATAGACAACCACTAAAACCAATAATACTTAGGATGCTGAGGATGAGGAAGGAGTGCCACAGTCATATTATCTTTTGAGAAAATTTCCTGGCAATATATATTAAAATTTATTAAGAGACACTTAACCTTTTGTAAAGCAAAGCAATATCAGATAGATAGATAGATAGATAGACAGATAGTAGAAACTAGGGAAGAGAGGGTGTCTACCATCTAGAAATAAAAGGCCCATTATGTGAGGTTATATGAGGAGAGATTGTTAACCTGTATAAACATGTGTGTAAAGTGTAAAAAGGAGCATGAATTAAGTTTGTAACTTCAAGTATAGAAAGTAAAATAAAAAAGTAATCTCCCGGGCTTCCCTGGTGGCGCAGTGGTTGAGACTCCGCCTGCCGATGCAGGGGACACGGGTTCGTGCCCCGGTCCGGGAAGATCCCACATACCGCGGAGCGGCTGGGCCCGTGAGCCAGGGCCACTGAGCCTGCACGTCCGGAGCCTGTGCTCCGCAACGGGAGAGGACACGACAGTGAGAGGCCCGCGTACCGCAAAAAAAAAAAAACAAAAATAAAAAAAATAAGTAACCTCCCTCTGCTCACGTCTCACTCCAAGTTACTTTCTATCAATCATCTTGTTGAGATTCTTTAAAATACATTCTAAGATTTTATTTATCAGCTCCCTTGTTGTTTGCCTCTCCCCATTATACTCTCTGTTTCATGAAGTGGGACCTGGTCTGTGACATCCTAACATCTAACAGAAGGCCTGGGACTCAACTCGCTGGTGAATGAACCAGGGAATGGATATTGTAGCCCCAAAAGCCGTCTCAGAGCCCAGAAAGCACATGGTTATCTGAATTTCTGTATAAAAATGCCCACTAACCATTGTTAATGCACTGCCTACTGCCCTATGCAGCTACCAGGACCGCAGTGAAATTTGGAAGTACCATATACACCATTTGTTTTCCACACTCTACCTTTTGCCAGGTTTCTGCACTAACCTCACCAGACTTAATGTCTCCTGATAAGCCTCAGTGACCCAGGAAGCTCAGTTTCCTTTAAGGGCCTGTCTTCTCTGCTGGCTGATACCGTGTATAAAAGAATCCTCCTTAACACCCTACTGGGTCTGTGGTTACTAACGCTTGCTTAGAGTCATGGAAGGAAAAGGGTCACACAGCTGATGTGTGTGACCAAATCAATGCTGTTTCATCCCCTTACGATGCCTGCTCTGCACACAGGGCACCTTGGTGGCTTTTACAGTCTAATGCTGGATTATACAGTTAACACGATCATCTACAGGGTAAGTTTGTTGAAAAATTCTATCATACATCTCCACTCCCTGGCATGTCACATCCTCAGTAAATACTCAGAATGAATACTCAGAATTAATGTGTTGGCAACAGAACTTATATCTGCACGGAAACGGAATAATCACTAAGCTGCAGGGATTTGTGGGTTTATTTCCGGGTGATGTACCTTTTTAGCCACCATTCGGTTTTAAATTCCAGTTGCTACATTTGGAGGGAGATACATGACTGGTACTTGAGCTACTTTGTCCAAGATAGGCCACTGGCCACATGTGACATTTTAAATTTAAATAAAATAATGAAATTAAAAATTCAGGTACTCAGTTGCACTAACCATATTTCAAGTTGCTGGTGGCTTCTACATTGGACAGATAGATGTAGAACATGTCTGTCAATGCAGAAAGTTCTACTGGTAGCACACCGGGCTAGGTACTTTTTGTCCCTCTGGGCTAACATGTTCAAGTGCACTTAACCAGCTCCCTTCAGGTAGCATCTGAGGATACGGTTGCCTGAAAAAATATAGGATGCTCAGTTAAATTTGAATTTCAGTTAAGTGACAAGTAATTGTTTTAGTATAAGTATGCCCCCAAATATGGCATGAGACATGCTGTAGTTCAACAAAAGATGTTGTTTATCTGAAATTCAGATTTAACTAGGCATCTTGTATTTTTATTTGCCAAATCTGGCAACCCTATCTGAAGAGCGAAATTAGAGCATTTCCCGGGGAGGCTGGGTCCTCTTACCATGGGGAGTGTGTATATGAGGAAATGAAAAGGGCTGATACACAGAATGAACCAAACTCATTCTGAGGGAAGAGGTTTGTAAGTTCTTCTGCATATGTTGAGGAAGGTTAAGAAAGAAGTTCCCAAATACATTTACTTTGGTTTCTTCTCTCCCCTTAGGTTTCAAAAGCTTCTCACTACAAAGAGATGCCTAGATCCAGAGTGTCTGTCAAACTCATCAATTCTCAGAAATAAATGGACTGGCATCTGTGTTCTGACATCATTGATTGATTCTGTACCTGCCAATTTTTTCCTATTAAAAACTTACTTGGGTTTCTTTCTTCGTGTGCACTGTGTGTCTTCGGGATAAGGAGACTAAAAGGGAAGGGGGGGTAAATATTATTGTGGAGAAGCTCTCTTTAGTACCAAATGTACCTAATTTCTTGAATAAGTAACACATTCACAGGGTTCAACCAAATCGAAATCACAAGGTATATGCTGAGAATCCACTCCTCACTGGTTTACCCCACTCTCCCTAGGTAACTATTTTCCTTGTGTATTTGCCTATTGTTAATTCATGCTGATGTGAGTCAAGAATGAACGCATGTTTTATCTCCCCCAGTTTTCATTCTTAAAAGATAGCAGACTGCATACACTTACTCTTTTCTATAACAGTATATCTTGGAAAACTTTCCAGATATGAACATAGGGGACATCCTGTACACTGTCTCATGGTATTGTACTGTGAACGCATCACAAGTACATCACAGTTCATGTAACCTGTCTCCTGTTGGTAGGCACATAAAGCAATTCCAGAATAACAAACCCTGATGTACAGCAAAATGGAAATTGTTCTCATATTCCTCTGGGATGGTGGAAAATGAACAGAAATTCAAGTCACTCTGGCTTGGACTCAAGGTTCTTCTCCTTAAAAACTGTGGCTTGGGGCTTCCCTGGTGGCGCAGTGGTTGAGAGTCCGCCTGCCGATGCAGGGGACACGGGTTCGTGCCCCAGTCCGGGAAGATCCCACATGCCGCGAAGCGGCTGGGCCCGTGAGCCATGGCCGCTGGGCCTGCGCGTCCGGAGCCTGTGCTCCGCAACGGGAGAGGCCACAACAGTGAGAGGCCCGCGTACCGCAAAAAAGAAAACTGTGGCTTTAGCCAAGCTCATTTTGAACCCCAGTTTTTTCATCTGTAAAATGGAGGTAATACGTACCTTAATTAACTACGAAAATGGAAAAAAAAAAAGTTTGGAATTCTAAAGAACAGCACAAACAAAATTATTTAATTTTCCAACACTACTGCTTTTGTGAGTTATATATAATAAATTGTAATAGGATCAGGCTCCCCAAATTCCAGCCTGGCATGAAGAAATGAAATATCGTACCAAGACAGAGGAAGATAGTTTCATTAATTACCTGGTTAAATGGCCATTTCCTCACACAGGAGTTAGAAAGCACACCCTCCCAATCTGCCTGCCCCTTTGCCCCTTCTGCTCTTTCCTCTTAAGTCAAGGTCAGGTTTTAAGAATGTTTCTGCTACTCTAGTGTCTGTGTGTTGGGGACTGGGGGTCTGGATGGTCCACTGTTGTATTGCCAGCTCTCAGCTGGTGTCTGACATTGCCTGGCATGTACTAATCACTCAGGAAATAGCTGATAAATTCCTAAGGCTGGGTTGTAAGAAGGACACACCCAACTCAGTCTTAAAAAATACCTATATAAGTCTATACAAAGTGGTTTGTGTGTGTACACACGTACATATACATATGCATGTACACACAGCACAGACATGCAGTGAAATATTCTGGAAAGACGTGCGAATCTGGAATGAAAATACTTGGGTCTGTATTGCAGCTCTGCCATTTACCAAGTGTCTGACTGGGGGTGAGTCACCTGCCATCCCTGAAAAGTCAGGCTTTTCATCTGTAAAATGGGATAATAGCACCTCCCAGAGTTTTGAAAAACCAGTCAAATGAGAGCACGTGAGAAAGCACCTTGTTCCTCGTAAAACCTAACATAAACATGTGCAAGCTTATATAAAGACAGAAGTAGAGATAGAAATGATCTCTCACCTGTTGATCCATTCACAAATGTGGGCAGTTGAAGAGGATGTTGGGATTTCCAAGTTGGGATTTGCCAGCTTCCACCTGCAGAGATTGAGGTGACTTAGGTTGTGATAAGCCAGATCACTGCCTGCTTCGGGCAGCCACTCCCCCATGGCCGGAGGAAGCTTCCAGAGGAGTGGGCCTGGCAGACATGTGGTGTTGAAATGGCAGTGGACGCACCCACTCACCTGCCACCAGGTCTCTTCCAGGTGCAGAAGCAGCAGCCCCAGTGGACTGGGTGGGCATTTCGAACTCAGCTGAGCCACCTTTCCAAGAGCAGAGACGCCTAAGACAGGGATGCTGCAAATTGTGCCTATTCCATTGGGGGCTCAGCTTGACTCCCTGGATATGGAGAATCACCCCCACTGGGTACCTGTGCAACTTTGGCAGAGAAAAGAAATATGTGGAAGGCCATTGAGGAAAGGGGCTCTAGATACAGTAGCTCTTTGGGAGGAAAGCATAAAGGAAGGGGAGAGCACAGAAGGAAACTTCGATTTCCTTTAGCTCAGTCCTTCAGGCTGTGGATGAAGAGACTGGGGCCCTGAGCAGCTGGTCTCTGTGTGGTCACAGAGCAGATCAGTGGCTTGTGCACGTCGCCCACAGAGTTATATTTCTGCCCTCGCCGTCTTCATCCTCTCAGGCCTCCACTGGAAAATCTACATGTCATTTTGAACCTTCCTTGCGTTCTATTCCGTGTTCAGGGTAACATCGGTAGCCTGGAATTGGCCATAGCGGCAGTATTTACACAACAAGAACTGGCTACAAGTCAGTATTTGGGGAGTTTTCCTGGAGAATCAGTTGTTAAACGTTTACCAGCACACCACTACCTTAAACGTCCTTTGTTTCTACCCCATAAAGATACTCTCATACCGCTCATGACTCTCTCTGTCTCTGTCTCTCTCTCATGCACACACATTGGCTCACGCTATTGTGCTGTTTTCCTACCTAAAAGGGTTCTCTCTCACCTCCCAAATGAGCCCCATGTCTCTGGGCTGATTTAATTCCCACAGTCCTATGATCCACACCTATTGTGGATTCTTCTGCATTGTTTCCCATCTGCTGGGTTCTCATATCGACTTTCCAAATTTTATGAGGAACCCTGACACACTCTTCTCACACATCCTCACCTGCCTCACCCCTCACTTCCTTCAAGCTTTTGCTCAAATGTCACCTTCTCAGTGAGACCCTCCCTAGCCTTCCTCCTACTCCCAGAGGGGAGAGATCCCTGCTGGGAGGGTGGCCAAGGTCTGGCAGAGAGTGATGCTGGGAGTGTGGACCGTCAGTACAGCGTGGCTAGGAATGCCATGAGCAAAGGCACTGCTAGGACACAAGCAGGGCTGTTTAACCAGTGACCCCAGGGATTTCCTCTGGGTTGCCTGGCAATGAACTGGGAACAATGGCTGCTTCTCCCCCTGTGGGAGAATCAGCCAATGTTCTCAGGTGCTGGGAGGCTGGTGCTCCCAGCTGAAACCCACACAGAAAAGGTTTCTTCTCCTAATCAAGTCTGGTCTCATGCTTTCTCTATGAAAAGGAACAGCACAGGCACTGGGTCCCCTTCTGGAGCACAGCCCCTCTGTGCATCAGGCTGTCCCTTTCCCTGGCACGTGACTCAGAGCTGCAGGAGAGCAGGCACTGCGCATCTGCCGACTTCTGCCCACGAGTTCCAGCAGACACAACAGACACTGTGCCTGCCAACCAGACAGAAGCCCAAAGTACGAAGACCTGTTAGGAGGAGTTAATGACCTCTAGAGGAGGGAGTCGGTGGGAAGGAGTGGCTATAAACAGCTTTCATTATGGGCTGAGATCGAACTTTTTAATCATTATTCTAATCACCTTGTGTCTCATCTTCTCAAATGTTCTTCATGAACGCTACAAACCAACAGCTTTTTCTGAAATTTCTTATTTATCCCTTTGTATTCCTCACCCACCCCACCCCCACCCCCGCCACCCTTTCTTTTGCCCAATGTTTTCCCGCTCTCTTTCCTCTCCATTTAGCATCAGCTGTTTTTTAAGGAGCACTTTTTAAAAGTACCTTGTTTTCACACTAGGTGGTCAGTGTTGAAATACGTGGAGACTCTGCCACCGCTGCACTCCGCGGATGCCCCAGTGGGACCCAGTCACGCCGGAACTAAGGGCTCAGCTCGGACTTCCGGTGCCGGTCCCGGCATCTGTGTTATGGAGCCGCAGAACGGTCCTCTGGCTCCATCAGTAAGAACCACGACGCTCGGATCTCACCTGTGACTCAGAAGCTGTGCCTCAGAATCAGACAAATATTCCTTGTTATCCAAATTTACTGCTATCTAAACTAGAGTTGGGGGCTTCCCTGGCGGTGCAGTGGTTGAGAGTCCGCCTGCTGATGCGGGGGACGCGGGTTCGCGTCCCGGTCCGGGAGGATCCCACATGCCGCGGAGCGGCTGGGCCCGTGAGCCATGGCCACTGAACTTGCGCGTCCGGAGCCTGTGCTCCGCAACGGGAGAGGTCACAACAGTGAGAGGCCCGCATGCCGCAAATAAATAAATAAATAAATAAACTAGAGTTGGATTGGGAGAAATGTGGTTCTTACCTCACTTCATTAGATTATAATGCTCACTCAAGCACTAACTTATTTTATTTAATCTTCATAATGTCATGAGGTAAGTGCTATTATTGTCCCATTTTGTAGATTGGGAGACCAAGGCACAGAGAGATTACCTAACTTGCCCAGGTCATGTACCTGGTAAAAAGGACGGATGGGGGAAGTGTGCAGATGAGAATAAGACACACACAGGGAATCAGCTTCATAGTGTTATTGGGAAGGCAAATGAGGTAATACAGGTAAAGACCTCAGAAGAGCGCCCAATCCGAAGGGAACCCTCGACAAATGCGAGTTGCTGTTTGCTGCTATTACCATAAAAGTAATTATCTAATTACACAATGCAACCAGTGGTCTAGTAGCCCAAAGAGCTAAAAACTGCCTCTTTGGAGGCTTTGTTTGCTTTAATTTGGTTATTTGTTACACGAATTTTATATTGTTCTCTGGCCTTTAGTCTTTAAGAAATACCCTGGCCTCATCAACCTGTTCCACCGGGGCCTCCCATTGGTCAAATCTACTGGAAGCCAGAGAGCAAGGGAGCCTGGGAATTGTAGTTTCCAGTGACAGCGGCTTCGGAGAGTAAACAGGCAAATGAGGGAAACAATCAGAAATTCAAACAAATATTTCTGCAAATCTGATGCCTGAGCATGAGACCTTGTATCTGC